CCGTTATCTCATATCTTTTGTTTGCTCTACTTTCACTTCTTAATTTGAACTTAAAGGAATGAGAGAGTTTACAGTGCTTCATTCACACCAAAGCCAGTGCTTCACGGACCCTTCTCCTTTCTCCGTTTTGGAATTTCTTCTGAACATATCATGTTGCGTTTTTACTTTCTGTCTCTGAATCTGCTTAAAAAAAACATCCAGAGTTAAAAAACACAGAGCGTGTGTGAATCCTTGCAAAGGCCCTCGCTGTTTAATAATTTTGAGAATGCAAAGCATGGGTTTAAGTCCTATACCGCCACCAAAAGAATGATGGTGTGATGTTCAGCTTCACAGCTTGCACATATTTTTGTTAAAACAGTGGTGTTAATTTTGAAAAACTCCCTAAAATTTGCGAACGAGCATTTCGCTCTTTCATCATCCATTTGTTTCTTGCCATCAAGTTTTTGCCCCGTCAAAAAATGGAAAGATGCACGAGTGTGCTGGGGAGCGCGCTCATAATCAATTTTACACATTTCGCATGATCCATAAAAAAACAGTTTTGTTTCCCAATTTTTCTCCGCTCCCCTTCGTTTCCTCGTTTTCATCGGAAAGCCATGTCAAGCACACCATTTATCTCTTTCAACTCCTCTCTGCCCACAAATCATCCGCCTATCTAACCTCATTATGAGAAAAGTAGTAAAATACTGCTGCGACCAAAGAACTTGTTTTCTTTTAAATAAAAAGTATTGCCCTTTTCGTTGAAAGAGACTGACAAAGGAATAAAAAAAAAGGCTTGCTATTCCAGTGTGCTCGCTGCCGCTCCCCCTCCCCTCTCTTCCCCCGCTCTCTCATTATCGCATGCCTCAGCAAAAAGTATTTGCGCCTGGTACGAATTCGTTATAGTGTATTTGTTTATAGAAGCTTTTCTATTTTTTTTTTTTTTTGGTTATTATCAGATTTTGCATCTCTTACAAAACACCTTGTGCAATGTTTTCTTTCTTGAAGGCTTTAAGGCATGAGGAGAGGGCGAGAAATTTAATTTTTTTCTGTATGCCTATCTCTGCTACTCAAGCCTGCAACTTATGCTTTGTATGATTTAAGACTGTCAAAAAACACATACACACAACTGTTCCAAACTTAGCAAGGTCAGTTGCGAAAAACCCATATACAGTAGCTACTGCAGATAGGTACCCAGTTTTGGTTGCGTCGACCTGAGCTTACTACAAAGCAAAAGCTAACAGCTTCTATCTCGCACATCAATGAAAAATGTCCCCTTGCTTTTCGGGAAGCCACTGTGCCGTGTTAACACACTCTGATTTCAACAAAGGAAAAAAGAAACCTTTCTCTAACAAAGGATTCAGTGAATGGATGTTCGAATCAAAAAGCATTCAGGCAGTGAGTCAGTCATCCATGGATGAATAGAGGGGTGCTTTTTCTCTGCTTCCAGAAAGTGCTTCTTCCCTGTTTTATTTGTGTAATACAAAAAAAAAACTCTGTTTTACAATTTAACATTCAAAATGTCCTTGCTGCTGCCGCTGTTGCCGTCGATTACGATGATGTGCATGCGAAAAAACAAAGCGCACACACATATCAGCCGTACAATTTCGGTTTCTCACAAATTGTGCTCAGCAAAACGATGCGAATTTTTTCCCTGCACTCTGCACAATAATCCCTAATGATGCTTATAAGCATCATTTCGGGAACAAGCACAATGTTTGGTGCCATGGCACTTACATTTCTGCAAAATTAATCCCTGGCCCGTGCTGTCGGCAGCTACGATAGAAATTTGGACTAAACCTCATTCTGCCTTAGTCGGCGTGCGGACCACTTCACCAGTGCAACTTCGCCTTCCGCTGTCATGCACTCCCTAAGCACTCTTCAGTCTCTTCTGCACCACTCAGCGTATACTTTTTTTTTCCGGAGATTAATGCATATTTTTTGAGAGCACCGCGCATATCCTCAAGCAACAAATGAGAGTCAGAAACAGGGCGCGCTTTTGCCGTGTTTTGAGTTACGCTGTGAGTAGTGCTCTCAACATTCGCTCCCGCGATGACGTCGCCGACGTTTAATTCAGATCGTACCCTACAATTTTTCATGCCACTGGGCAGTGAACACTGGCCGCACTGCTGAGGGATTACATCAAGGAAGAACCGCGACCAGTGATCCGATTTCTCTGATCCGAAGGTGTTACAGGCGTCAAAATTCATCATCGCACGACCTCATTACACTATGGGGACAGTGCTTTACCGAATAAAAGTGTATCTGATCGAACAGAAAAGATTCGAAAAGACCAAACGATTTTGGATGATGGGGAGCAGGCAGCCCATCATTCACCTTCACTGCTGGCCAAAAGACTCAAGAAAGGCGATGCCCATGACGATTTTGGCAAACGAAGAAAGGCTAACAATGAAGTGGCGGATTATCTTCGTATCAGTCATGGTTCTCCGTACGAGATCATTCATGTTGTGTTTAGCATTTGCAAAGCCCGTATGAGATGGGCGCCAAAATAGCTTACCGACGAACACATGCACAAACATTTGGAATTCCTTCAACGCTCACTCGACCATTACAACAAGGGAAGCGAATTTTCCTGGAGAAGATAAGCGCAGGAGATGAGACTTCTCCCCATTATTTTGGAAATGTAAGGGAGGAAAGAACTTCAAGATTCAGCTCCTCACTGGAAATGATACATCCCATGTTTTGGGACTCAAAATGACCAGTACTGGAGAATTATTTGCAAAACTGTCCTGCAGCTTACGAGACAGGGAAATGCCATCAAAAGCTGAAACCAGCCATCTGCAACCAAAACAGAGGACTACTGTCGAAGCACTGTTGCACAATAATGTGTACCTCGCTGTCTACGCCATTAAAATCACTGAAGTGGGTTTTAAAACTTCGATGCACCCGACAAATTACATTTCAGATGTCGCCCATTCCGACCAGTACTCAAAGATTTTCTACGAAATCGTTATTTTTCTATTGGTGAAAACTGCAGGGAACGGCGCAATCAAACGGCAACCTTTTTTACTGAAGATACAGGTAACCTCGTTAAGTGATGGACCGAAACACTCCTATTCAGGCTTTTATTCAGATTTAACTTATTCACATTCCCTTTTATTCCCTTACTTTTTACATAAACACACACCATCTAAAATTAAAATTACAGGCAAGCTCGTTAAGCACTGCTTTGGTTTTAATAAATTACAAACAAGAATTGCGGGCAAATGTTGGTTTTTCTCTTGTACTGCACTAAAAGGATTTTACTTACCGGCAGCACATTGTGAAGCTTATAATCGAAGTACTGGGATCTCGTAACGACACTTTTGTCCGACCCATAGAATGGAAGACACCATCCACCGATCTTTTCATTATACCACAGCGTCCCCCTGAAACAACAAACTGCTTTGTAATACTGTGAATGACCAAATCCAAACCATGCGCTGATCTACTTTTTTTTTTTTTTTAAATCCAATTTATAAAGACTTTCGTCCAACGGGCTTAATAATCAGATTATGCACAAACTGCAGTAGCATTTATATACACCACATCTTTAGTTTTTCCTCTAACATCAGACTTCCACACCGATCGTGCAGACGAACTCGACAACCAGAAATTTCTTAGACAAAAAATCCATGGAAAAACAAATGACAAAAGCACCTTTTCTGGGGCCGAAATGAGCTCCGCGGCAACTTCTCAGGCATAATGCTGCGCCTTATTTTACCCAATCCATCAGTATGCATGTTTGCCATGCCCAGAACCAGTGTTCGGTACGTGCCCGCATTGAATGAGTAACCCTGGAAGTATGTATTGTTAAAAATATTGCTGGAAGTATGCTAGCACACTGAAGTGACGGCTAATCACAAAAGCTCGTGCGAAAGCAGTGGACCAATTAACCCACTTGATCAATTCGACATTTTTTCATTGTCCACATATAAACATACATACATATACACGTACACGTACACGTACACACACACACACACAAATATGCATACGTATATGCGCACTCACAAACGTTTACGAAAAATTTCATTCAATGATGAAATGTGCTGGATAACATACCGCATCCCCCGTATTGAGCTGAACAAATGTTTCTACATGGTTGAGCTGGCCGTCAAATTTGTTTTTGAGGAAGTTGACGCCCAAATCACAAGGGATGCTATCCCAGCCACATGCACCCACCACGTACAGGCCTTTCTCGCGTGCCAATTCACTGTACTTCATTTGCATCGATTCCAGAAACTGCAACGTGAGAAACTTGACGCCAAACATTGAAAGCAGCCGAATCTGCCATAATGCACACTCCAGCAGAAGAATGTCTGCAGTGGTAATGTCTAACAAATGTGATCGATCCGAGTTTTTTTTTTTTTCTTGCAAAAATATACCGCGGGTTCGCCGGAAATATCCACATAACTTGCGCCATTCTCAACAGCCGCTCTTACGACCGGTTCGCCGTACAATCGGTACTGAAACAACACGGAAGGCAGATAACAAGGTGCACGAGACCGACAAATAAAATGAGGAAGCAGATGGGATAGAATTAAGAAGGGAGAAAAAAAGACTGTGAAAAAAAATACTCGAGAAAAAAACTCATGTTTGATCCTAGAGCTAAACAGGCAGAGAAGTTTCAGTTCTAATGCGTTATTATAGTTATAACTAAAACACTAAAAAGAACCGAAATACGAAAACAAAGTGAAAAGCCAACGACTGGCGACCGCTGGCCAAAGTCGCACGAAAAGAACTATTTAGTAAGCTCAGCAACACTTACAGGTCCCACAACGTTGATGATGACCTTCGCCTGTTTTGCCATCGCAGACAACGTCGACTCATCGAAACTATTGGCAACAATCAGGGGCACATGTTGCAAATCTCGACCTGGAAGTTCATCAATGGCTTGTTTCCGCTGTCTTTGACTATTTTGCGAATAACAGAGGAAAAAAATTTCCTTTTGCCTTTTATGATGCTCGCCGTCACAATTCAAAGGATTCGGTAAAAGTGAAGATAAGAGGCTTGGATCCTTTCCCGTCCATATCCTTCGGGGAAAAAAAAGCTCCCTTTGCAACAGTGTCCACTAAGGGGGAAATGTCAGCCATAAAAACAAAGCAAACAGTGCAACACATCGCGGGTTCAACGTAATCGCATACTGTTACAGTTGGTCACCGCGGACAAGTACTCAAACTTACGCAAGGCAACCATGATCTTTTGACCAGCTACAGACTGAAACAAATTCTAACTGGCATGTCTTACACTGCTCCGGGAATACACTAATTTAAAAATACAAATTAGGAGACATCGGCGTTGGAAAGGTTTTTTTATGTCATACACCTTATATTGTGCTCCAAAATAAACCCAAAATTTCTGATCTATAGTTTATGCATTTTTATTAAAATTGCGACATCAGTCTGAAACGCACTGACGTGTGACAGCCAATTTCAGAGCCTGCACTATAGATTATGCGGTAAATTAAATTCATGAAGTTCCGGACTTTTAGTTTCGTTGTTTCCCGAATTATATAACAAGGGTCAATTTCTGGGGTGTAAGGAGTAAGGTATACGGTTAAAGAGGGCTAAAAGCGGACTTGAGGACTGTGAGTTTTTACCATGTTTTTTAAATTTCAGTTTTCTAATTTCAGCAGTTTCCAGTTCGAATTATTGGACAAACTATAGAAACACACAGATGCAGAGAGAGGAAGAAAGGGAAGGGCTTGCCATACACGCCTCCGAGTAGCGAAGCAGGAAAGTACACAGCAGTATTACATCAATAGTAAAAAAAAATGCCCCAGATGTGCAAAGCTTTCGATCGAGTAATCGCGCTGCATCGGAACTTCCCGAATGCAACAAAGAG